ATCAAAGGACTTGATTTTAAAGTCAGGAGCAGATCAGAGATATTTCACTTGTTCATTTTTGTCTGAGAAGTTCAACGTTTTGGAAAGACAAAAACAATCGTGATACAAGCTTTTACTCATCCACCAGGTCAACAGTGACGAATGCTAGGGGTATAGTTAGAGTTGAGCTTTGTTAAATAGGCAAATGTCACCTTTCAAATAAAGTTTCATATAATTATTTTGGCATAACAGCTTCAATTTTAAATCGTTTTCACTTAATCCAAATAAGTAAAAGTACTATAAAAAGTGGGGGACATTAACCCAACCTAAACCCTACCCCTCACCCGAACGCTAAATGTTTTGCTAGTGGCATGTTGGTTGTTAAAAGGATAATAATTCACTCGAGTGGAGTAATGTGTACAAAGACAAAAGTGTAAAAGTTTCTTCTAAACAGGCTTGACTCCTCCATTAATAGATATCCAGTTACCACCAAAAACAGAAGCCGCAAACATCATCTTCTCCACCCTCAACCCTCAACCCTCAGCGCTGCCAGATGAAGGAATGCAAGAGATCAGTTTAATTCAAACCCACTGTGTCATTTCTCATTAGTGAAGCCTTCAACAGCCTAACTCAGCTCTCTGTCCGTTCGGTTGGTGCCAGCACCCAAACTGCCAGGCAACTGCTTTAATGTGAAATTCAAAACTAAAAACTGCATTCCAGTGTTACAGCGGCCCATGCCACGTGTTCATCTTTTAGTATTTTTTTTTTATTTTTTTTGGCTCTAACTCGTTGCCTGTCCACACAGGCGTATTATCTGTGACGCTATCTGCCACGACATTGCCTGGCTCAAAGCGGAGAGTCTTGGCTGAACCTCTTATATCACAAATGGCAGATGTGTCATTCATTTTAATAAAAGTGGCCTAATGTCATTACAAAGCTCTCAGCATGCTGGAACTAAAAATAAAGCTGGGTCACAGTTAAGTGTTGTAGTGTCAATGATGGGTTGAGTTGAGTCCTCCACTTCCCACCAGCGTGTGATTTCTTGGTTACTGCAGCCCCGTGCACATGCAGGATGTAAGGACGGGCGCAAGAAGCTGCTGAGGGCTTTTAGCGGCATCCGTTCTGCAGCACTCCCACTGTGACAAGCATGCCATTTATTTTCTTATCACACTTTCTCTAGTTGATCATGTCCTGAAAGAGTGGCTTATTACGCCTGGGATAGGGAGGGCACTCTGCCTAATTAATACCCAGTTAAAACCAGAGACAGCAGGAACGATGGCCCAGATGACCTTAGAGTGAGAATGTCAACATGGCTTTAAATTTATGCAGTCTGGTGTTTCAAGAAGGATTCATGTCCTTTATTTAATTTAAAGTAGCAGTAAAGCAGTATGTATAGAGTGGCTAGCTAAAAGGATCTTACTTGCAGAAAAATGGCCTCTTACATCATTACATCCATAATACTGATGCATCAGTCTGTAAGCAGCATTGTAATGATGTAGCTGTCACAGTATTTGAAAGCAGGACCAAAATGCAGGACCCAGGCAGACACCAAATGACAAAAATGGACCTTTATTTAGCTGGCAGTCCAACTCCCAAAAAATAAAAGTCCAAAATGAAAACAAACCGATATCCAAAAGGCCATCATAGGGAGCCAGGCAAGATTGACAGATGCTATGACAATGCTTCACAGTGTAATAAGGGAAGTGGAAATCAGAAATAGGTGCAGAGAATAATGACAGTCACAGGAACGAGGCAAAAGTCAAAGTCAAACAAAGGTGACAACAACTTCCAAAGTTAAACAGGTAAAAGCAAAAGAACCCAACAAAGTAAAGAGAGGCAAGAAAGCAGAATAACATAAAGAAATCAAAACAGTGGCTGCCGGTGGAAACTGCGCTACTGTTGGCTGACGGTAGAGAGGGATGAAATGATGAAGTCAGAGAGGCAAGCCTGCGATGGTTCGGACATGTGCAGAGGAGAGATAGTGGATATACTGGACAAAGACAGAAGGAAAAGGACGATGGCTGTAGTGAAAGAGGACATGCAGAGGGTTGGTGTGACAGAGGAGGATGCTAGGGATAGGGTGAGATGAAAGGAGATGATGCACTGTGCCAACCCCTAAAGGGAGCAGCCGAAGAAAGAAAAAGAAGAAGGAGAAGGATAGCTAACTCAAAACGTAACCAACAGGGAGACAGTAGGTTTTTATACTTTTATAGTGCTGGTGTAGGTTAGTGGTAGATTCACAGCACATTTGAAGGGCGATGAAACAAAGTCTTTCTGTACAAATTAGTTTTTTGACATTGAAGTGTTTCAGATGTGATATTTAAATGGTGCTATTTGGTAAAGTGGTAACAGCTGGCTGCTTTTTTTGTAAAAAGTTATGCAAAAATTTAGGGAGATATTTTATAACATCATATGGGTTTTTTTGTAAAATCTTTATGTGAAGCCCTGCAATAGACTGACAACCCGTCCACTCGCCCTATGATGGTTGGGATAGGCTCCGCCCATCCTCACTCCCAACCGATGGCAGGTTATGGCTGCCCCTCCCTGAGCCTACTTCGGTTTCTGAGTTTTTCCTTCTCAGTGTTGGGAAGTGCTTGCTCATAGGGCGTAGTCTGATTGCTGGTGTTTTCTCTGTAATATCTTCCTCTACCTCTTTACCTTACAATACGTATTAGATTTGGAGCTATAGAAATAAAATGGAATTGAATGGAATTAAGTGTAGGGAGTAAAAAAAATTGCATTTTTTTTTCAGAAATGTAATTAAGTAGAATTATAGAAGAAACGTCTTATTTTACGTTGAGAGAAATGCATGAATTCATTAATCAATGTTGTCGTTAAAATAAAAAATCGATACATTTTTTGAGCAGCCTGGTGATATTCAGAAGAGATTACCTTTTCAAGGCATGAAACAAGTTTAACTAACAGTGCAAGGTTAATTCCTGGAACTGCATAGTTCAGTGAGCATCGCTGCAACTCCGCTCGTCTATGACAGAAAGGGCCGGAGGGGCATCAGGTGTGTCTCCCGTTCAGGCCCTTCCTTGGGTGTGAGGTGTTAATCCAAAGTGAACACGCAATCCTCAACACAGATTCGTAAGGTTCAGAGGCTCCACATCAACAATGCATGTGGGCGAATGAAGCAACACTTACACATGGCTGCATTTGAGAGATGCAAATCAGTTGTCGCTCACTTGTGATTTGTCTTCATGAGAAGCGGCAAAGATTTAGGTTTTTTTTTAACCTAGAGGAAACTATTGAAAAAAATGACACTTCCTCATATCTTGTGATATAAAAATAGACAATAATTCGGATTTTTGATGCAGATATAGTGTACTTGAAAAGCAGATGGCTCACATTTCACAATAGAAAGAACGACTTTAAAAATAGTTAACGTGCAGCTATATCCAGCCGGTCCAGACGTCATTTGCTGCGACGAAAGCCGAGGCAGATGCCAAACCGTCCATTCACGATGTAACTGGATGTTTCACTTCATGTGGATTTATAGGGACGCCCATGCTACTGGGTTAATACTGTATTATGTCAAGCTCTGTTTCAATTACACAGAGTCAGTATGGGCTCGTTACACTGCCCGGCCTCTCTCCTCGCAGTCATTCTGTCTCATCTTAGTCCAAGCCATCTGTTACAAGCGCGGCTCGAATCCACGGCGTGAGGCTGACATATAAGTTACCACTGTAACAGACTATTACTGACACACACCTCGCAGTAAACTAAAGCCAAAGAAGAAGATGAGCGCGAACAGGTGCAGCTCTTTGCAACATAGAGACATATCCTTTGAAAGTAATTGCGTGCTGACTGCTGACACCCTCTCTAGTGCTGGGGACAGGGTGTAGGAGCGAGAGCTATGTATAGGCCAAATCTAAAGGCATGTATGCACCTATAGCCAAACACATATGGAGACACACACACACACACACACACACACACATATATGTATATATACATATGTGTGTGTGTGTGTGTGTGTGTGTGTGTGTGTGTGTGTGTGTGTGTGTGTGTGTATATATATATATATATACACACACAAAGCCAGTTTGAGTCATCATGTTTTTGCAGGTTTCTCAAGTCAGCCCACTCTGATCTGACAGAACACTTCATAGATGGAGTCTCACTTAATTATCCATCTTTTTCAGACTGTCTGTCACTCGCTCTCTTTCTCTTTCTCTCTCTCTCACACACAAACAGTCACTCAGTCTTGCACTTTTTAAGGCATACATTCTTTCCATTTATGTAAGCAAAGCATTAAAAGTTACCAGGAGAGAACTGGAGAAACAGGAGAAACAGGAGACACGCTTTAAGGACACCAGTGCAGAAGAAATAAAAAAAAAAAAAAAAGGGGGGGGGGGGGGGGGCAATGATAAGAAGAAGAGGGGGCCTGCGGCTGTCACATCCATGAGATCATGTGTGATACGGGAGAGGGGTGGTAGGTCACTGAGTGCATAGCAAAGAGAAGGGGTTATGCGGCTTAATATTCATTTGTCTTCTGCCTTATTTCCATATCCTTTTGTTGCCGGATCTTGATAGGTCCTGGCACGCACCTGGCCCTTCCGTGCCAACAAACTACTATCTGATGTGCTTCTACAGTGGTGCACACAAGCATCTGCATGCATATTCACGTGCACTGTTGCTTTGAGACACAACACAGAGCCCAGAAAACTAAGGGCTGTCTAAGCAGGCGTAAAGCTGGTAATTATTCCGGGGGTCCCAAGGTGCAGGTGGAGGACTCATAATCCAGGGTGGCTTGACTCGTAGCGTGGCAGACTAATGTGCCACAGTTTCACACATTGTCAAAGTCCCATTAATTCCCACAGAAGCTTGTTCTTAGAGAGCTATAACAGTTGCATACTAAGTGCCCATCCTTCACTTGTGGACTTGTTTCAGGAACGTGATGAGAGCGCTGTACAAACACGCCATCAAGCTTTATGACCACACACACATACACACATACACGCACGTGCAGTCACAGGTTTGACGTGAATAAATGCAATCAAAAGTTTGGTTCTTACCTTCCTCAGCTGAGTTAGGCTGGAAAAACAGACAGAGAGACAGAAAGACACTCCACATCTCCACTACAGAATGACACTGACAGGGAGAGAGGGAGGGAGAGAGTATGAAAGAGAAAGAGGGAGATAGAGTGAGTGTGTGTGACAGAGCAAGAGGTGGGGGGGTGGAGAGGGGGTGGAGTCTGTTTGCTCCCTTTATCTAAGAAAAAGAGAGAGAGAGGATGGGGGGTGGATGGATGAATGGATGAGGGAAGCAGAAAAATATTTACAGAGCAGCAGATACAATAAGTACGCTGCCAAGTGAGGAAGTAAACAAAACACCGTTGTCACAGAGACAGGAGGAGAGAACGAGTGAGAGGAGGAAAGTGAGAGAGAGGGTTTATTTTCTTATATGGGAGAAACAAAGACAGAGAGGAGAGCCGACAAGAGAGTGACAGAGAGCGAAGGGAGAGAATTAATAAACAAGTTTTTCTGGTCTTTAAAACAGCCGTCTAGACACGACTAACGGCGTCCATTGCAACGCTGGCTGGCAAGCTGTGGCATCCCTCTCATGTCTGGACACTGTGCTAACCCGCATTTTTTCAAGCTGTGGCATGTGAGAGTGACCAACTTTTTATTTTTTTGCTGTTTTTCTTGATCTCACTCAGCTCAGCCTTTATGGAAAATGAATATAATTTAGACATGTTTTTTGGGACGCTCGCCATCCTTCATGTGGCTTCATGCTCTAACACCCCTCCACCACAACCACCACCCTACTCTCTCAGACACACTCCTCGCCTCATAGGACAGCTCATCCAGACAGTATGCAGACTCACACTCAGGCACACACACACACATCTGAGCAGCCCTTCTGGTCTGTGCACGCCACTAGCTGGCCAGCCTGCAGTACTGCAGCTTGTTGATGGGCTTTCATGCTCCAGTTCACTGCTGTGAGTAACTGCTGTGGACTCTTGCAGGGAGATGTGCTGTGTGGGTTTGACACAGTTAGATGGCACCATTCCCAGCCAGCCGGGGGGCCCCTTACCAAAGGCTGTGTGCTTCTTCGATGGGCTGAGGTACACAAGGTAAAGCCAAACAGGAAATGGAAGATTATATTGTATAGCTAAAGCGACCAATCAGACTGAAGCTTATCTTGTCCATTGTCAGAAAATTTTTGATATAAGCAAAAAAGGGAAAAGGGTAATTTCAGCTTTCATTCAGAGCAGGTAGCTTTACATCTTGGATTTAGCAGATTTTTATGCCAGATGGCCCTCTGACACAACAGCCAAGGGATTTGTGTGTCCTCATGGAATCAAACTGGGCACCTTTGTGCTTGTCAGACAAATATGTAAACATCTACAATTGACTTGTGTGCCCCACTAGGGGAGAAATTTCAATCTCAGTCTGGTTGTCCACATATAGGTGCTTAGAAATGAGATCACCCTTTTGGAGCACAGGTATGGGGTTTAGTCTGCCACACAGACCCGATTCAGTGTGACTCCGATCATTGTGAATAAATGATTAATCTGCTTAGAAATCATGGAAAACTGGAGTCGCTAACAGCTTTTAATGAATTCAGTGTGATGCAGGCACGTAAACAAATAGTGGGATGTAAAATATCTGTAGCCCACAGGTACTCAGCAGATTCTTCATCTGTCAAAGCATTATGGAAATTTGAGCCATGATCGCAGCTTAAACTAAAGACGGATAATGTATTACAAGACTAATGACGAAAACCTTTAATATCAACTTTCGCCTCAGTTTTGTCTGCGAGCAAATTCCAAATGAAGCATCGTAATCAGTGTCTTTTTGAAAAGCGAGTCCCTTTGGTTGTGACCTCACAAACACGAGATCAGTGATTTAAAAACAGATCACAGGAAGTTCCCTCTGCGTCTTCTGATTTGATTTTTGAGCTCGTAACAAAAATGTCAACACAACACCCAAATGTATTATTTAAACCCGATTCATCAACAGCGGCGCTCGTGGCTTGTGTTGTAATACATCGCGCCTCACAGCTCACTGAGGTTTTTCCACAGCGAAACGAGAAGGAAACACTGCAGTGGAGAAGTGGTTGCCCGATGGATTACCACGGAGCGACAGTTAACATTAAACATTCATGATAACTAACTGGCTTTGACTTGTGGCCTTATAAACTTACAAAACTTATGATGTTCACACTCATTAGTCAGGCGGCGCTTTTCCCTTGAAACATGTAAAACTTTTTCTTCTTGGTTTCTCTAAGCCAAGTGTCTCGCACGAAATGCAGAGCAGCAAAGGTCATCTCTAACTCTGACACACGCTCAACTTGGCTAAGTGTTTCTGTTTATTTACACAAACAAAAAAAGAGATAACAAAAGAGCAAAATATACATATTAAAAATGTGAAAACTGCAAAGCAACACAACTGCATCTGATACAGTGACACTAGGAGTGCAGAGTGCAAGAAAAATCAAGGTGGAAGTAACAGGTTTCACAGGACAAGTGAAAACCGCACACCTCTCGAGCACGTGCGACACATTTACATGTAACGGGCGCAAACAGTATGCGCAATCATTATTCAGTAGTCTGACTGCCAAAGTGCTAACATAACCCTGTTAAGCTCATCAGTTTGTGCACACCCAGAAGAAGATGCTGCTCTGCAAACACCGACACATCATGTGCTGCAGCAGCTGATCAGTGTGCAGTAACTGGAGCCTTTACAATATATTCACATCATTTCAAACAGTTAGAAACAAATGCAAACAACGACTCTTCGGTTCTAAAATAAATACAATTCACGTAGTGTTTTTTTTTTTTAATTCAACATCGTCAAGCGTGTGTAATGACCTGTTTTGACTGAGATGTGTGTTTAGTTATCAGTAGACCACAATGTGCTTCTACACATCCCTCAAATGAGGTAACAGTTTCACACTAGCAAATACTTTAAAACACTGCTTTAAAACTGTATTTTATTTTACGACCTACTTTGCAATAGCTGCTTCTCTCAAATGCTCTACAGATGTGGAAAGAGTTTCAAGTGCAGTGGTGGATAAATATCCTTTCTGTGCTGTAACAGTTGGGAGCTATAAACATACACAGTTGGCCACCTGAGTTTCTAAAATCCAATCTGAGCTGTAAACGCCAGCATTTTTTATTTCTCGTTCTACTTTGTACCCTGCAGTGAAATCTGCAAACTAAAGAGGTAAGCTTTTGTTTTTTTGAGAAGCCTTAAAGAGGCTTTGTTCAGGCTTGGCGGTGCTGGACTACGTCTCTCTCGTCCTCATACAAATATTACATTTGATGCAGACGGCTCCGGCTTACAGAACTCGCCTTGTTTTGTTTCTTTCTCGGCACAAACGCTGTCGCATCCAAACAGCGGACAAGCAGAGACATCCTCTGCTGTCAGGGTATGTGGTGCTACTACTGGATGAGAGGAAGTCTTTGTTTTCTACATACATAAATATATTTATTCAAAATCTATATGGACCTGAAGTGGAGAGGAACTGCTGCTAAACCCCCCTCAGTGCTTTTTTTTTGCCTCAAAGCAGGCAACAAGGCATTTCAGAGAGGACAGCAAGTCAATCTTTTCTTTTTGGGGGGTCAAACAACCGAACTCCAAATCCGTCTTTTCAAGCTTGACCTCAATACATAAACCCCCAAATCCTGCAACCTTTTAACACTGTTGGTAGCTGAAGACCTCACACAGAACATATGCTGATCCTCTTATAAGGTAAAAAAGGATGGGAGCTGGCATCGGAAATGTCAACAAACCTTAAATACTGGTAATTCATTTAAGTGTAGACCGTGTTTAAAGCAGGATTAAAGAGGAATTCAGTCCATTAATGAAGCATTTCTAGCTGGGAGGGATCTTTAAAAACACTCTTTCATTTTTTTAAAAAGGCACTTTAAAAGCACACATATAAAATACTAAAACTTTTTTTTTTTTGCATTAGTACACTGAAATGGCTTCTTCCAAACACACACCTTTCATTATTTCTGACTTATGCAATATAACTTAATATATAAATATAAAATAGTATATATAATAATAGAACTTTTACACCAGCTATGTGCAAGGCCCATGTTTGTCTGCTTTGTTTTGCACCAAATCTTCCTTCGTATCTTCTACAGTTTTTCATTTTGCTTCTGAAGGAAGATTCACCATGGGAACTTTTTCTGTGGGGGACATCGGTGCAGGCTCTTTGTTTTCAACCACAACTGCCTCAGGCACCGGGGAGTGGGAGGGTTTTTCCACCCTGGCGGCGAATCCCTGTGCAATGTCGTCAAAGGTCCTCCCTTTTGTCTCAGGGACTCGTAGGTAGGTGAAGATGAAGAACAGGATGAGGAGGACCATGAAGATGATGAACACGTAAGGGCCACAAATTTCCTGGGAAAATCAGAGGGATGTTTGTTATGAGACAAACTGGAAGACGACTATTATTTGTACATGTGTGTGAATGTGAACATTTTCTGCAGGGATGATAAATGTGAAAAATACCTCCAGTCTAGGGAAACCCAGCCCCACCAGGAAGTTGGCAGTCCAGTTTGAGAAACCAGAGACGGCCATGGCTGCAGGTCGGGGCCCCTGGGAGAAGAGCTCAGCCACGATAAACCAGGGGATGGGACCTGGACCCATCTCAAAACTGGCAACAAAGCCAAACACAGCCACAATTGCCAGATAACTTAGAGATGGGGTGGTCTTCTGCTCAGAGAAAGAAACAGAGAGCATGAGGAAAAGATGTAATGCAGCAGCAATAGGCTGGCTTCTCATTTTCATTTTACAATGACGAACTCACCACTAAGGACAGGGAGATGGTCATGATCAGGGCGCAGATGGCCATTCCAGCCAGTCCAATCAGGTGTAACGTCCTGCGTCCCGCCCGTTCAACCAGGAAGAGCTGGAGTTCAAAGAAACACAATTATCAACTGACATTCAACGTAATATTTAACCTGTACTAAATTAACTAAACCACCTGCGCACTCAGACACTTACAGAGACAACAGTAAACACTGTGTTGACGACTCCAGCGCCGATGGTGGCGTAGATGGGCTCTGATACACCAGCGTTACTAAAGATGCCTGTGGAGTAGTAAAAGACCTGAAAGAGGAAATGAAGGAAAAGTCAGTTAATATTGATTCTGATTAATAAAAAGTGCTCAGAACATGATTTGACTGCACATGCATCAGTTTGTTTTAGATTTTTGGCAGATCAAAAAAAAACAAACAGTTGAAGTTGATGCTGCAGATTTGGAGCAAGACTTGCATTTGAGTCTAGCAACATGAAAAGAAGTGAAACAATGTGAACACTTAATTAATACTATCATATTTAGGGTATTTTTCTTTTCCATCACAACAACACTAACAGAAAGTTTTGTCAGTTTTTTTTAATCATATTGTAAGTTTTTGTAATTATGTGTTTATTTCCGGGTCGGGGATGAGTTCCTGCCCCAAGTGGAGGAGTTCAAGTATCTCGGGGTCTTGTTCGCGAGTGATGGGAGAAGGGAGCCGGAGATCGACAGACGGATTGGGGCTGCAGCTGCAGTAATGCGGACGCTGCACCGGTCTGTCGTGGTGAAGAGGGAGCTGAGTGTAAAAGCGAAGCTCTCAATTTACCGGTCGATCTACGTCCCTACCCTCACCTATGGCCACGAGCTGTGGGTAGTGACCGAAAGAACGAGATCGCGGATACAAGCGGCAGAAATGAGCTTCCTCCGAAGGGTGGCTGGCCTCTCCCTTAGAGATAGGGTGAGAAGTTCGGCCATCCGGGAGGGGCTCAGAGTAGAGCAGCTGCTGCTCCACATCGAAAGGAGCCAGCTGAGGTGGTTCGGGCATCTGACAAGGATGCCCCCTGGGCGCCTCCTGGGTGAGGTGTTCCAGGCATGTCCCACCGGGAGGAGGCCCCGGGGCAGACCCAGGACACGCTGGAGAGATTATATCTCTCGGCTGGCCTGGGAACGCCTTGGTATTCCCCCGGATAAGCTGGAGGAGGTGGCTGGGGAGAGGGAGGTCTGGGCCTCTTTGCTTAGGCTGCTGCCCCCGCGACCCAGCCTCAGATAAAACGGATGAAGATGGATGGATGGATATGTTTATTTACTCATACATTTCTGTTTATTTTCTATTACACTCAGTTTTTTCCTCTCTCTCTCTCTCTCTCTTTTTTTGCCTCATCACTAACCCCTGATATATTATCTGATTCTCTTGTAACAAAATTCTCCTTTATGCTCAGCAGCTACAGTCGTCACACAGTGGCTTTAATAGTTTCTTTCCTCCTGCTGAGGTTGCTGAGAGCAGTGAAAGTGCAAGGATACAGTGCAAAGTTGAGTGGAAATTCTCCACGTGTAGTCATTTGACTATAAAAAATCAGATAAATACACGTTTTGGAACGGTTGCACAAAAAACAATACACGTAGCAGCGTGTAAAACTGCACCAGCGTCTTTCTGGTGAGTGATATGGGTTATGTTGCAGCCTTTAGCTCCAGGCTCCTTCACAGTGATTGTCAGGTCAGACACAGCAGCTGCTAATGAATTTAGTCAGCCCGGTTACATGACCTTATTAACAAAATAGCTATTAAATACCACTGTGCTTATCTTCTTCCAATCAGCCTCAAATTATTCAACTCAATCTAACATTGCCTGAAGCCAAGAAGCACATCTTCTTACGTGCTTGTCAAAAACATTTGTGCAATTTCAATGAATGCTCCTTTAAGCATTCGTGGCTAACGTTAAACATTGCTTTTCTCACATTACACTTTCTCCCAGTTTGACATGTGCTAATTATATCCCTATCACGTCGCTGTATTATAGGATGTGACGTCTACTCACAGCGTTGATGCCAGACAGCTGCTGGGAGAGCTGCAGGATAATAGCGATAATGATTGGCTGGCGATAGTTTGGCGAGCGGAACAGTTCTAAGATGGTCACTTTCTTTTCCATGGCCATCTTCATCCCTTCTTCCTTCATCTCTTGAATGTCATCATCCACGTCTTCAGTGCCACGCAGACGCACCAGAGCTACAAAAAGTAAAACAGATCAAAGAAATAGGAGGAGGAGGTAAGTATAACTAAGAAAAAAGCAGCTCGGAGCGTTATATAACAAAGTAAAGTTTCCCACACATCATTAAAAATCAGTCAGAGTCGGTCTCACTAACCCGACGTTGCCAACTTGGTTTGTAAGTATGCAAACTGACTTAAGACTGACCTTTTCTAGCCTCCTCCTCTTGTTTGAGAACAATGAAGAGGTAGCGAGGGCTTTCAGGGCAAAAGGGCAGCATGATTGTCTGCAGTACAGCAGGCAGGATAGTCAGAGCGAGCAGGAGAGGCCACAGAGTGTCTGAGCCCAGCAAAAACTCCAGACCAAAGATCTGAGGAACACACAGCAAAAATAATGAGGGAACGAGGTGCATAAAATTGACCCATTTGAGCCAATTTACTCCTTGTATATGAAATTCTTCTCTTTCAGCTATGAGTACACACACACACACACACACACACACACACACACACACACACACACACACACACACACACACA